GTCATGACAAAAATACCTAATCACATATCCCTTTTAAACAGTTTTCTCCCTCATCTGTTTCAATGCAGTATACATTATTGAACCCATCTTTCCTGGTCTCCCCCCAACCCTGAGGTCAGTCCTGTTTTAATACAGTGGCACCATGCAGTTTGTTGATGAGTCTTCCACCAATCCTGATGCCACATTCTTCTTCATATAGTCTAGCTTCTCAATAGGATTGACTAAGAGAAAAGATACAGCCCCGATCCTGATTTTAAACCACACAGTGTTCCCTTGCTCTATTCATCCTACAGCTTCTTACTCTTATGTTTCACATGAGCACAGTTAAATGTTCTAAGATTCCCATTTTTCTTAATGTTAGTCTTAATTTGTTGTGAGCCACACAAACACCTACTGTATCGTCAATAAAATACATACATTCTGCTGATATTCTCTATTTTCAGTGAAGATTTACCTGATAGCTGCAATAATAGCCCTAGTGCCATGGTCTCTTCTAATTGTACTTTTTGAATCATTTTTGGATAATCTTCAGGAAGCTTTTACTTGCATATGATATTAATGATGTTGTTCAATAATTTCCACATTCCATTGGATCACCTTTTTTGGGAATTGGAACAATTGGCCAGGTAGTTGCCTTTCAGATTTCCTGGTAAATCCGTGCAGGGCTGCATCTGTTTGTTGAAATATGTCAGTTGGTATTCCATCAATTTCAATGGCCTAATTTTTTTGTCTGGTAGTCAGAATCTTTGCTTTGTTGATATATTTAGATGCAGTTCATATTGAAGGTGGCTGTCAAACACTTCAAGTCTTCGTTTTCAGTAAGCAAGACTGTGTTATCTGTCTAACACAGGTTATTGATAACTTTTCCACCAATCATGGAAGGCCAATAGGTGGTTTATTATAGATGGAGAAATAGTGGGGTTATTAACAATTTCATCTTGGTCTAATCCACAATCAACAAACTGTGCACCAGCAGTCAGAAAATCAAAAGATGAATTGCAGTGAGAAAATCTGCTATCAAGAACCTCTTCTTAGTACTAAAGAGCAGTGATGCCAGTCCAGAGACTAAGGTGCTCCTGATTCAGGCCATAGTCTTCTCAGTTGCTTGCTGTGCTTTCTGACAACTGAAAAATGAATAAAGATGACAAAAGAATTGATGCCTTTGAGTTGAGATGTTGGAGAGAATATTGAGCATACCATGGACTGCCAAGAGAACAAACAGGACTGGCCTGGAGAGAGTGAAACCAGGTTGCCCAGTTCAGGCAAGGATTTTGAAACTCCGCATCACATACTTTGGGCATGTAGCCAGGAGGGACCGGTTTATTTAGAGAAGGACATCATACTTGGAAAGGTAGGAGAGGAAAACCTGTATGAGATTGACTGGCACAGTGACTGTGGTAATGGGGTCAGGTGTGTCAGAGACAGTGAGGTTGGCTTAGGATAGGGCAAGACTCAGAACTGTTGTTCATGGTGTTGCTATGAAATCATAGTCAACTTGATGGCACATAACAACAACAGTTTTTTTGGTCAGTGCCTTTAGTGCAGTTTGAATTTCTTCCTTCTTTGCAATTGGTTCTTGATCATGAGCTATGTCCTGAAATGGTTCCAGGTCAGCCAGTTCTTTTTGACACAATGAGTCTTTGTATTCCTTTCATCTTTTTTTTTATGCTTCCTGAATCATTCAAGTTTTTTCCCCATAGCATCCTTCAGTATTGCAACTCAAGGCTTGAATTCATTTTGTCAGTTCTATCAGCTTAAGAAATGCCAACCAAGTTCTTCCTTTTTTAATTTTCCAAATAACTCCAGCCCAAAGAAAGAAAAAGTAGCAATCTACTTTCCATAGGTATGTTACTTAACATTCTTAAAACCTAGAAAAAGAAAACATTATATAGCAAGTTGATCCAGATGTGGCAATACTTTTCATTTCGAATGATAAATCCGATGGTTAGAAACAGGAAAGTGTATAAGTCTTTAATGTTTAAAGAGCACACTTGCCGTTGTGAGTACTCATTTCATCAGCCTTGAACATTTTTGTGGATAAATTTTGAAAGATAATTGCTGTGTCAAGGTGGTATTATAAATGAAACTAATATAAAGGTATAAATGAACTCTGCAGTGTTAACAGCTATATTTTTTTAAAAATAAAAAACCACCCTAGAGAAGTACTTGAAAATATTACAGATTTGTAAATGTGTGTTAAATTTATCTATTACCTTAGAAACTATAATTGCATTTCTGCCGAGTGCAACTTCGCCGCCAGCAGCTGAAGAAGACTCAGACAAACAGGATTCGTTGCAGAAGCTTTATTGAACAGAAAATGGCGAAATGGCCCCGTCTTTTTCCCTGGCACTTGCTTATATCCCTCTCGGTTCCACGCCTCCTGCTCTTACGTCTTAGAATCTCATTGGTGTTGAGGTCTTTCTAAACCAGGTCCAATGGACCAATAGCAATATTGCAGCCATAAATGGTGTTGTTTGTGCGTTAGTAAGTCAATGAGGAAGTGAGGTATCAGTGCCATCTTGTAATGGCGGCGTGCAAGTGCGGACCGCACATGTGCAATGACGTCAATGATCTTAAACGGCTAGCCTGCTGCTGCGGTCGGCCTGCTGCACATTTCTTTATAACTTTACAAGTGTTACCCGCTCTCAACCTTCCTATTTCGGCTTTCACAATTATTATCTTGGTTTCTGGGAATGTTTAGGAAAAGACAATACTATATTCTTTCTCCCCTTTAGTTCTTTCCATTCTTAATATACTTTATAACTTGATAGACTAGCAGAATCTTGCTTAATTGTTAGGAGGTTTCTAACATCATCATCGTGTGGGATTTTTTTCAGCACCAGCTGGAAGTAGCAGCAGCAGCAGCAGCAGCAGCAGCAGCCGCCGGAGCCCACTGCCAGGAACGTCCGTCAAACCCCCAAGTCACAGTCTGCGCCTTGGCCTGTCCAGATTAGCACGTGTTAAACCTTTGCATCCAACAGCCACTACAAGCTGAGTGTGGGTGGCTGCAAAAAAAACTTTTGTCAAGAGAATCACAGTTTTGCATTATATTTAAATTGTATTATTCTTTGAGAAAAGGATTATAGCATAAAGGAATCTTTTAACATGCCTTGCAAATGATCTCATGTATTTTGTGATTATGTTCTCTGAAAAGCAGTTCAGGACTTCAGTAAGAAATTTGTAAGAATCATCTTCTAATTTCATGTCTTTCAAAGAGCATATTCTATTTCCTTATGTGTAAGTTATTGTCATTAAATAATTGCCACTTTGATATACAGTCCACATCACATTGTTACTCTGTTCTTCTAACGGGATGGACCTTTCTGACTTTGTGAAGTAAGCTTACCCATTCAGTTCATCTGCAAAGGAAGACATTCCAATTTCCTTAACAAGACATATCTAAAATCTTAAAAGCTGTTTAAGCTACATTGTCAGTTTTACTCACTTTCCTATTTTACTAGTTATATTTATAGTAATAATTAAAATATTTTTTAAATGTTAAAATGGTTGCTGTACTATGGCATATGTTCCGTACTTAGATGCTTATTGGATCATAAATAGAATTTCAATTTATGATGCCTTCATGGTCAAAATTTTTAATAAAAATGCAAAGGTTTGACATTTTCTTTTCCTTTGATACCATTGTTTCTAGTAGTCTAAAGTTCATGAGAAAGAGTTTTTCAAAAGAAGTTTAGCCTTTTTTAGTCATAAATGTAAACTGAAGAAAGCTGTTACTTAAACAGTACCCTTAAGCCAGTGCTCTATGGAGTGGCTGTCAAGTACTTCTTCATCTGTTGTATTTGAAGATGGAGCTTTTCAGGAAGGACTTGAATTAATTTGACTGAAAATAGAGGTACTTTATGTTGAGAATTTCAACTAGCTCCTGATCAGTTCTAAATGAAAAATTTTCCAATCATGTTAGTTATTGAAAAATACATACTTAGCTTAGTTATTGCTTTATGTAAATATCTATGTTAATGTGAAACTAATTTAGAAATATGAATAAAGTGAGCATTTATATTATTCCTAGTGTACATTTTTTCTTATCTAATGTGCATTTTAAAAAATTTTATTTTATTAATTTTATGGAACGTTTATAGAGATTTTGGATTTCCATTCATTCATTGTTGCATTTTTCTCTCTACCCACCCCACCTCCCCGTTTGCTCTTCTCTTTGAAAAGTAAAAGAAAAATGCTTTTATTGGTATACAATACCCCCACCCCTGAGTACACTCCACTGTGCAGCCTTCATTCTGAACTCTTGTCATAACCATAATACCCAATCATATATCGCTTTTTTTTGTAAGTAAACAAATAAAAAATATTTATTTTTTTAATAAAATAACTTTGCTCTCCACACTGTCTTCTGTTGCCCTGCCCATATGACCTCAGATACTTTACCTTCCTTACTGCTCACCATTCATTCTCACCACTACAATATCTGGAGCTCCTTTCCACCATTTGCCCATTTTCTTCATATAATTTCTTAATTACTCTCTTGGCATTTTTTTAAACTCAAACACCTGATTTCCCATCTCTTTGTTATCATTTGGTCTTTAGGTAATTCATTGACAATTATACTCCTTCACCTAAAGCATAATCCATTATTTAATTGGAAGGATCACATAGTCTATGGGAGTTACTCTCCTAATCCAAGGGCCTCACTCCCTGGTGGTTCAAATTCACCAGCTACTCTGTAGGGAAATGATGGGCAAACTCCTCTTCTCCATTTTTCGGTCTTGGAGATCAGTGGAGGATCAGGTATGTGTCAGTTTCAGCTCAATGGCAATGAAAGAAATAACTTTCTTAGCATGTCAACATAATCTGACATCCAGCATATCATTTTTTTAGCCTGCATTGTGCTCAGACATTTTTTTCTTTATATATTTTTTATTATTATTCATTTTAATGAAAATTTACAGAGACTTTGGATTTCCATCCATTCATTGTTGCACATATATCACTTTTAAACAGTTCTCTCTCTGTTTCAAGGCAGTATACATAATTTATCCAATTCTAATGTGCATTTTTATGGAGCCTTAGTGGCACAGTGGCTAAGTGATCAGCTCCTAACCAGAAGTTTAGTGGTTCAAATCCATCAGTCCCTCCAGATGATCTGACAAGCTGCGTCTGTAAAGTTTTACATCTTTGGAAATTCTATGAGGTAATTATGCTCTCTTCTATAGGGTCGCTGTGAGTTAAGGTGGACGCAAAAGCTACTTTCATATATCATCTTACTAATTCCACATACCCTATGTAGTATCAATTTGGTTCAATAATAAACATGTACCAAGAGACACAACTTGGGTGTTGTGAGGAGTACTTAACATGCTTGCACAGACAATCAAAGGCTGCAGCTTTCAATGTGGATTGCATCTCAGCATCAGGTAAGCAAAAATTCTCACCACCGAACCAATAGCAACAAGATAAATGGAGAAAAGTTTGGAATTGTCAACTATTTCATCTTACTTGGATCCATAATCAATACCCTTGGTACTTGGCATTCAAGAGATCAAACGATGTGTTGCATTGAGCACCTCTGCTGTGAAGGACCTCTTCAAAGTCAGGAGCAGTGATGTCAATTTAAAAGTCTAAAGTGCATCTGATCCAGACCATGGTCTTTTCAATTACTTGCTATGCATATTAAAGCTGGACAATAACTAAGGATGACAGAAGAGGAACAATGCCTTTGAGTTGTATAAGGAAGAGTGTTGAATATTCCATGGACTGCTGAGAAAACAAGCAAGTATGTCTTTAAGAAAGTGCTACCAGGGTGCTACTTGGAAGCAAGGATGGTGAAACTCCCATCTCGTGTACTTTGTGGCATGTTGTTAGGCCAGTCCTTGGAAAAGGACATGTACTGGGAAAGGTGAGGTTCAGCAAAAGGGAAGACCCAAAACAAGATGGATCAGTACAGTGACTATAACACTGGGCTCAAGTCTATTGGAGACAGTAAGTATGGCACAGAATAGGGTAGGGTCCAGATCCATTGTTCAGAGGATCACTGGGAGTCACAATAGAGGATATGTAACAAGAGCCTACTCTGTATTAGCTATTGATGTTCTTTGCCACCCAGTTAGACCCGACCCATAGCTGACCCCCAGCAGGTTTTCAGAGGCAGTTAATCACACAGGAGAACATTGCCCATCCTTCTCCCACAGAGCAGCTGGTGCATTTGAACTGTGTGCCTTCAGGACTGCAGCACAACTTCTTACCACTAGTCCACCAAAACAAGAAGCAGCAGCATAGGAAGCAATTGAAAATATTGTAGTTTGAATCAGGCTCACCTTAGTCTTTAAACTGACCTATTTTTACCCTGCTTAAAACACCTGATTTCCTTGACTCATGTGACACCATTCTAGAGTTAATTTTCTTGTCACGCCCCTGCCTGCTTTATTACTTTGCAGATCTTTACTCTTTTGTGCTATGTTCACTCCCCCCACAATATGTTTCTCCGTGTCCCATTTTTGTTTCCTGCTGCCCCATTTTTAAATTTTTTTTTAATTTTATTTTAAAGCGTGGATATCTCCAAGCTCAAGTTATTTAAGTGCCAAGTCAGAATTTTCAGTTCAGACCTTCCTCTTGACACAGCCTGTTTGCCAGGTCGATTAACAATTTGATGTAAAAACTCAGGCACTGCATTAAACATCTTTCCTAGCCCAAACTTTTCTCTGCTGTACTTTCTGTTAGTAAATGGCACCATCAGCACACCAGGTGCCTAAGGCCTGAGATGTGGCTTCTTCACTCTCTTTGACTACTCACATTCAATTAGCAAACGCTACGGTTTTCAAAACTTCTTTTATCTACTTGCTTTTGTTTGCTGTAAAACATCATCATGTGCTACTAGGCATCCTTGTTTTGATTCTTAACCTACTCTAGTACCATTCATACCATTGTTATGGTGAGTTTCCTAAAATATAACTTGAGTACTAACACCCTCTTCATTCAATCCTTATCGGGTACACCTTAGGCTCTGTAATTCACAATCGGACTAATCCTTATCTGCCATGTGTACCTGAAGACTTAGTAACAGGCTGGATACTGACAGGAAAATGGTTAGGCACTGGGCTATTAACCAAAAGGTTGGTAGTTCAGGTCCACCCAGGCTACTTATGAAAATTCATTCATTGACCAATGAATCATGGGTTTGAATTGGGTCCAGGGCAACTGGCATGGGTTGTTTTGAGAATGGATAGAATTTGGACTACTATACTCTTTAGTACATGTCTTTCTTTTTACATGACTGACTCATAATTGTTCTCAACAACTCAAACCAATCTCATTTCTTTGATAAAGCTTTATTTGAATATGTGTTTTCCTTCCTAGATCTATTAACTTCTCCAGGCCAAGCTACTACTATTCCTTGATAACCTTGCTTCCTTAACAGGCTTTCCTACCACTTAGAGAGAGTAGATGTCCTAAAGGATTCACTTGATAACCAAGTTATATCCAGAACTCTTGTTAGGTACTTCTGATAACCTCATCCTTTTTTTTTTTTTTAACCTCCTTCTTGAAGCTGGAGACAGTAGGGATAATCTCAACAGCTCTAATCTCCACCCTCAGGATGAAATGAACTTCTTATCCTGTTTTTTCAAGAAGGAGGGCAAAAGCACAGGAGTGGAAGGAGATGAGGAGTGTTCTTCAAGCTGATCGAAAGGTGTACGGGGACTGGCTAGTTAGACGCTTTCAGCTCAGAAGTCACAAAAAGGGCAGACATTGTTTCTATAGCGACAGAAGGAGGGCGTGGTCCCCCACGGGCTATTCTCCACTGGTCATTCATACTAGGATCCTGCAGCGGCCTCCTGGAGGTCACTGCCATCCCCATGCAGCTCCTCCCATCTCCCACCCCCATCGGAAGGAAGTAAGAGTCAGGGAGACCAGGGCCTCGTGGGGTGCAGGCCTCACCTGCGGGGTCAGACCGAGTGCTGCAAGGGGAGGTGGCTTCTGGGACAATCAGGGGCGAAAAGAGTAAAGAAGGGAACGAATAAAAGCTGT